TAAGGGGGAAGAGTTGTGACATTCTCAATCCGACACCGATTAATTATGCATTATTAGAATTATTTAGTCTCGTTTAGGCGCTAATCAAGAGGGTAAAGCCCACCATACCACATTGAACCTTGATTGATTTTTAGGATATTGCACATGAAGACAATATGTGCAGGACAGGTGTCCTAAGATTGATTAACTTATAGTTTCCATTTAAATGCAAGTTCTAGAAGCCTTGATGGAGATGAGACAAAATTTGGTCTTGTTAGGGGAAGCTTGGGCGCCACTTTTGGAAGAGAGAGGGGAGAAGAGGGGCCACTTGGTTAGCTTCTAGAATTGATTTCCCCTAAGCTTCTAGCATATGCTCTTGTCTTGCATTAATAAGACTTGATGGAGATATTTTAAGAAGGCTAGGCTCGCCTAAGCTTAGAGCCATGAGTGCAAGTGAATTATTAGTCTCTCTCTCTCTCTCTCCCTTGCAAGAACACTTAAAGGGTTAACTCTCTAAAGGGTTAACTCTCCCATTTCTACCATTCTCACTCACTCTCACTCACTCTCATGTCTCTCATTGCTCTCTTCCTCTCCCTCCCTTCTCTCTCTCTCTCTCTCTCACGCCACCACCATCACCGGCCACCATCACCGCCGTCCGTCCACCACCGCGCCGCGCAGAGCCGTCCGTGCCGACAAGCTGCCATCCTCACCGTCACTGCCGTGCTGCTCGTGCCGTTCAACGCTCGCTGCCATGTCATCCGTGTCGTGTTGACGCTCATAATTTGAATGGTTTAGTAAGTGGTTCCTCTATACCTTGGCTAGGGCGCTATTCTACGCGCATTGAACTTGGATTAGTCTTGTTTGAGCTTGTTCCATCATGGGTGTTTTTGATGTTCAAGTGGCTATTACATGTTGGTTTAGACCTTTTGGAATGAGTTTTGTGGGTTGAAGATTCGTGGGTATCAATTAGAGCTTGAATCTTTGAAGTTCGGTTTTGAAACCCATATTTGTTGTTACTGTACCTCTTTAGTTTACTATTTTTGTAAAGAATCTTGTGGGACGAATATGAAGTTATGTTCTTCACAGAAGTTATCCTTCACATCTTAAAGTTTAACATATTTTAAATCTAGAATTTTTGGAGGTCATTTGGGTTGAACGAAAGCTCATCTTCAAACCATGTTTAAACTGCATTGAAATGTTGTTTCTTTGATCTTCTTGTCTTTTCGAATTTTTATAAATTTTTCCAAATCTATTTACCACAAGCTTCGCTTATAAAATTTGTTAACGACTTTTCCGTTTATTACATATAAAAATGTCGAGGCTTTTTAAAGTGATATGGGTACTGAAAGAGATATATTTTAAGGATCGAGTAGTCTGTTCTACCTAGCAGATTTCGGGTCTGACTTTGAGTGACAAAACCACATGATTACAGATTGAACTGGATTTTGTGCTATTCATAAGAAATGTTTATCAATGTGTTTGTTGTGACATATCCAAAATCTAGAATTTTTGGAGTTCATTTACTATTTATTTTGAAGGGATTTCGGTTACTGTGCAAAGCTGTCCAGATTTACCCAATTTCAAAGATGCACTATTTTCTTTACGTGTGATTATTTTAGTACATCTTTATGTGTGTGGAATTTAGATTTTCTAAGTGCGTAAGTATAAAACACTCTTGCATTGGCCTAAGTGGAAGATAATGATTGGCTTGAGTGATTCATATGCTTGCTTGATCACATAAATGGTTCCGTATCTATATGACTGCGGAGGACGATGCCCGATGGATTTCGGATGCCCGATGGATTTTGGTTGCCGTTTGCGATAAAGGTCGGAACGATACTCTTAATTGAATGCCGTCTTCGAGTGAGGTCGAGACGTTGCTGTGCCCAATGGGGCGGGACGATGCCCGGTTATGTCGAATGACTACCAACGCGAGTGTTGGTCGTGGCCTTGAGTGGTCGTAATAATTGAAACACGAGTGGATGCATTGTGCATGGTATGCGATATGAAGTGTTCTTGATTACTATGTACAACTGTCGCATGCCAATTGGAAGCGAGGCTTCGCATGTGATTATTTGTGTGAATTGTATGTGCCAACGGTGCCAACGGGAGGTAAGTATTCGCGTGTGATTATTTAATTGCATTTTGGCATGCTAGAATGATGAGTTTACTCTTCATGTTTCCGAGGCAATGTTTCATCCTACTCAAGGTTTAGAGATTCTACTTATTGAGTTATACTCATCCGTGTGATACTTGGACTATGCGTTTTGATGTCCCCGTGGACCAAGACGTGGAGGTGGTCGAGTACGTAGCACCGGGGACCAACATTGTGTACAAGGAGTACACGACGACTGTTTGGGTCGACGAGGTGTTCTTTTTGAGATAGCCCTCGTAAATAGAGGAGATAGGTTTAACCCCGACCCTTTTGATTAAATCGGAAAAAGGCCCGTAGTAGCGGGTTTGTATTTTGTTAACGTCCGATTGTTATCAATGCATATATTTCAAGTGTGCTTTTGTGTACGTGTTTTCCGTGCTATCCCTACTGTTGATGTTGTTTGGGGTGATTTGGATGTTTAAGTACGCTTCCTCATGTACTTAATTGAAAGATAAAACGAATGGGTTGGCGGCGCCTCCGGGAATGTCGCAATACAATGACCTGTGAAAGGGGTGCTCCGCGCTCGAGGCTCGGGTTGATCAGGGCGTAGGGCATGAAAATCGAACTCCCCGTTCTAGGCCTGGTCACATTTTACTTAGGTCCTTCCAGCTTGTAAACACATTTACGCCCAATGCCTTGTTTACCATTGATTGAAAACTCATAACCTTTAGACGTCCTATTAGGACATCATCTGCATAACAGCTTGTGCATCTTTCACCTAGTTTACTCAACCATTAAACACATTAGTAACCTTTGATTATTCGGTCATCTTCAGAATATCATAAGAGATTTCCCAACAATCTCACTCTGATCTCGTACGTGTACTATATACTAAATTTGGGATAAGTGAGTTTTGATATTATTTTATAAATGTGCATAGTGGACGTTTAATCTACTTAAGAGAGATATGCACTACTCACTAAGTTGTGATTGGTCATATCATTCTTCTTTCGTCTTTTTAGCGTAAATAGGACAAGAGCGGTATCAACGGGAATTTTTGGCAATTAGATTTTGGGTATGATATGAGACAGTTGAATATATGTCTGATGATAGTTGTTGTTAACTGAATTATGAGATATGTATACGTTTTTTTGTTGATTATAGAAATTCTGATTCTGTAATCAACTTACTTTTTTTTATCAGATTTATAGATTTATTTATATTTTGATAGCAGATTTATGTAGGTTTTTGTATGAGGCCACGTCCTTATGGTAAGAGGACCAACCATGTCATTCCCCTGTATTTGCATGAGTCGGCATGTGACAATTCTCATCTCCCTTATTCCGACAGAATTTTCCTTTTTTACTAACATAATTAATGGTTCCGACCGATCTATCATTTGTCATTTTCTGTAGCAACCTTACTAGATTTCTTGAGTTAGTAAACCGATAGTAACTTCTTATCATTTGTTGGCATACGAGGGATAATTGCCATCTCAATGAGATAAAATATATACAATTATAACCATTGTGTGCGACAAACGGAGGCGTGGATATTACTTAAATGTCATGCGATCTACCGTTAAAGCTGCACCTGCATATATACATCACGATGGATGAGTTCGATAAGATCTAGTAAACGGTAACTGCAAATCTTCAATTAATAACTCATACTTTTGGGTATTATGATTGCATATTTAGTAACATTTGTGATCAAACAATATACAAAACAGGCACGATCATAACTGTCACGTGAATGCAGTCATGGTCGCACAATCTACTGCTAAGGTCCTCATCAATAATATACATGATTATTAACAACTACGCTACAAGTCAGCATCGACATGTCTCCTTGGAAATCACTAATCGCGCAGTAGCAAATTCTAGAATAAGTGTACCAGCTACAAATATCTGTACTCCTACTCACAATGGAGAAGGAAAGTATTTCAACCTAGTAGAGTCTCTATAGACTTCTAGTTAATCCGGCTTTTATATCCGTACTTTGGATTGTAAAAATAAAACACTTTGACCCAGTTAAAAAATGATCACACATTGTGTGATCAGCCACAGTATCTTTGAGACATCTACATTCCAGCACACCCATAGTCAGTAACACTTAAAGAGTCCAAAGCCAAACAGAGTTTATCAAGCAAGAATGGGCTGTACCAATGTCAATGATCCAAATCTGTCCAACCTAGATACAAAACGTCAAATTAATAGTGCGTTTATTCCACTGAAAACTTAGGAAAATATTTTTCATGAAAATCTTTTTAAAGAAAGATAGTTGGCTTTCTTTTATTTAATATTTAGGGAAAGTGATTTCCTTTTTTCTAAAAAGAGGATTTGTTTTCCCTCAATCCATGCTTCTTGTTTTCAATTTATGGAAAGCATATTCCGTAGATGGATTAGTTTTCTGTCATCCAAATACCGAAAAGTCGGAAAGTAATTTTTCGGAAAGTTTTCGTCCAAACAAACGGACCCTAAATCTCATTACTTCCTAACCCAAATTACACCACCAGCCCCAGATTCGACTATATCCTCACCATTAATTGCCTGACCTTACCCACTCTAAAATCCTCATAATCTGCATGAAATCCAGCCCCTTCACCCCAATTTGCCTGCCATTTCAATGAAGTCCAGAGAATGTCCAGGCAAGTGGAGCCAATCATGCGATAGCTCAATTAAGGCAACTTAATTGGCCATACCCATTTTTAGACCAAGGGCAATTAATGCCTAGCCAATGGCCAGACCAGATCACTAGTTCTGTGACATTCTCCACTGCTATTTAAATGACCCTAGCCCTTTTGAGCAACACCCACAATCTCAACCTAAGGTTTCCATGTTTCCTATACATTCTTCCCTTCTGTGCTTCTCTTGATTTTTTTCCCTAATCATCTTGTGTTTTGTACTCTTCTGTTTTTTCAGCCATGACGAGAAGGAAGGTGAAGCTTGAGTACATAACCAATGACTCCTCGAGAAGGGCAGCATTTAAGAAGAGAAAGAAGGGCCTCATGAAGAAGGTGAGCGAGCTGAGCACCCTGTGCGGCATCAACGCATGTGCCATCGTCTACGGTCCCTACGACCGTCAGCCTGATCTCTGGCCACCTTCCCGCATGGCTGTCCAGCGCATCATCTCGAGGTTCAAGGAGATGCCGGACATGGAGCAGAGCAAGAAGATGGTGAGCCAGGAGGCTTACCTGAGGCAGCGGATCTCGAGGGCGAACGACCAGCTCAAGAAGCATAGCAAGGAAAACCGTGAGAGGGAGGTGACCAAAATCATGTTCAATGTCTTGACTAGCACATTCACTGGCACCACCCCTGTTTGGCCAAGCATGAGGGTGATGGATCTCCATGACCTTTCATGGGTGGTCGACCAATATGCTAAGGACGTCATCAAAAGGTCCGACACCCTCAAAGAGGCCTTGGGGATTGGTGACGGCAGCGAAGTTGCAGCACCCCCACCACCGCCACCAGATGTGCCAGCAGAGGGATTAGCTGAGACTGAAGGAGGGGGGCGAGTGCAAGCGAACGCTGGCATGCAAAGGCCACCATGGTTCGTGGAGTTGGGGAATCCCCAAGAGCCCAACGTACCATTCGCAGGAAATGAGCTGATGCTGCTTCCATTTGGTGGCAACATCAACAACAACAACAATCCCCAAAATGTTGTCTGGCCAAGCAACAACAACAACAATCCCCAGAATTTGGTTTGGCCAAACAACAATCCCTTTTTTCCTTGAGAGGAGAGGGGGATAGGGTTTTTTGTTCTTGGATTGCTCAAGGGATAATTTGGACATCTATAGTTTATGAATATTTTATGTATTTTCAAGCATTACTGCATGGTTATCTTTTTCTGTTCATCGTTTAGCTTGTTTCTGTACTCCCTTGAGTGATCCAATTGCATTGTTATTCGGGTTTGTTTAAATGATATATGTCTTGCAAGCTTTCATGAATTTCTCAGTCCTTATGGAGTAGTTACAGTTTCTTACTGCTGCGGCAAAAGGAAGCACATCGAATAATGATTTCTTAATAGAGAGATTTCAGAGGATTTGATCTTCTGTTGATTCATCCAACACCAAATTATTCAGTACAAAGGTAAAAGCGTTTCAAAAATGGAAGAACCGGGTAAATTCGGGAGCAAGGTACAAAAAACCGATAATTCAATGAACAAATGTAAAAGAATGAAAAACCATACACTAACTCATGGTGTTTATTCGGCTCAAGGATGATGATCTTTGAATCATAATCTAATGCGGTCCTATATTTTAGCCGTCGCTCGAAGTGAATCCACAAGCAATTATTGCACTCATTCATATTATTTAATGAAAAGGATAAACATGCGCGGATTGGTTAGCAAATTTGGCCTTACCAAGTTTTTAAACAAGCCGAGATGTCTCTTGGGTTCGAAACGTAAATATGTAAAACTTAGGACCATATGACATTGATTTTGTTGCCAAAAAACTCCGTATCCATGAATCTTTGCTTTGTGGAAGTAAAATGTTCTGTCACTTTTTGCTTGGATTTTTAATCAACCCATAATTGATTAGTTGCGACTCTCAATTGAATTAAATTGCATGTTAAGTTGATTAAATCAAAACCCCAAAGTTGCGATTAGTATGGACTTAAGAGAATCCACACTAACTGTTTGGCTTAGTATTTCATTAGCTTTCCCTTGATAGTTCATTTCGAGGAAGGTTGCAACAAGCATACTAGTTACCTTCCAAATATTTTGAGTCATTAAGTTTCTTTTATATATTTTTCTTTGGCCTGAGAATAATATCCACTATTTTAAAATTTGCAAATGAGTTCTTCATATATTACTTATTGTTTGGATGTTATTACTTTGATTTGTTTCTTTAAATAAAATAAGAAAATCGTTCTCATCTTGTAGCTTTTTCATATAATAAATATGAAACCTGCTAAGTGACACTCCCCTTCTCCATCTTCAAAATTTATGGTTGGGGCTAAGGCAAACAGTAAGAGTTCAACATGATAGAAGTAAGTTAAAAGGGTCAAGATGAAAAGATTTGTGCAATTTTGGGCAAGAAAGAAAATTATTCATGTGGATTCATTCCATTCACAACATTGATGGGCAGTGCGGATAGGAAGTGAGTGTTTCCATGATGGAACCCAACATGTAGTTTCGTAATTTGTACTTGGCTTGTTGATATGGTAGAATAAAGCATCTTATGACATCTTGTTCTCGACAACTTGGGAAGGAAATTAATGTACGGTGGGAGGGAGTTGATTTGATTTGATTGGACTTACGATTTTTTTTTTTTGGTCTCTTTGACGGAATTAATCCCTTTTTTTATTCGAACTCCATCCAAATTTAGAAATTTTCCCTAAACAAGAAGAATATTCAACAAAACATGTATATGATTTGGAAATTTTTGTTTTGGGGTTTCAATAATTAGGAATTCATAGATTTGGTGTTGCTTGTTATCATTTTTTAAACATTCAAACATTTAAATTGCTGTCGCTTAATTTATAGGGCTTATCACCACGAAATAACCCAACACTGGTACACATGTAACAAATTTACCTCAAATTAATTTTTTGACCACCAAAAATCCCGAACTGGTACACTTGTGACAAATTTACCTTAAGTTAGTTTCCATTAAATTTTATTGTTAAATTGATGAGTTTGATGACAAGTGGCAGTTGACGAGGGAAAAGTATAAAAAAAGTCATAAACCTATTGCATTGATATCAATTCAGTCATAAACTTTTTAATTTGACCAATTTAGTCCTAAACATTTTCATATTAGTACCAACTCAGTCTATCGGGCAAATTTAGGCTGGAAATCGCTAATGTGGATGCCGGCAGTCCTATGTGGCATGACTAGTGCTAACGTGGATAAATTTTATAAATTTATAATATTTTTTTCAGATTTTTTAAATAATTTTTTTTCGTTTTTACTCTTTTCTTTTCTTTGTTTCTTTCTTTTACCGTACACTATTGGTCAGCGAGGTCATCGGCCGACCATCGCCGGCCATAGGCAAGGGTCGTTAGTCTAGGCAAGGCCCACCGTGCCTAGATCCAAGCGCCTGTTGTCCGGCGAGGGCCTCCATGCCCTCATCAGCCACAGGGGAGGGTGCGAAGGCCCTCGCTCGTGGCGGGTGAGGGCCGCGACATGCTCACCTAGATTAAAAAATTATAATCTAAGCCCTCACTCGTGGTCTGGGCGAGGGCGCGAAGGCCCTTACCCAGACCAACTTATAGCCGGCGACCTCGCCGGCCAACAGTGTACCGTAAAAGAAAAAAACAAAGAAAAGAAAAGAGAAAAAAAGCAAAAAAAAATATTTAAAAAATCTGAAAAAATATTATAAATTTTGTCTACGTCAGCGCCGGTCGTGCCACATAGGACCGCAAGCGTCCATGTCAGTGATTTCCAAGCAAAATTGGCCGGTTGGACCGAATTGGTATCAATATGAAAAGGTTTAGGACTAAATTAATCCAATTAAAAGGTTTATGACTTTTTTGGTATTTTTTCTCAGTTAACGAATGTATCAATTTGAGGTCTTAGCCCTCTGTTTGTGACATGTTTTTCAATTTATGATTTTTCATGATATTAATCCAATTTAACGGAAGATAAATTTGTCACAAGTGTACTAGTTTAGGGTTTGTGGTGGTCAAATAATTAGTGCGGGTAAATTTGTCACTGGTATATTAATTTGAGGTTTTTCAAGGTCAAAAAATTAGTTCGGGTTAAATTTGTCACTGGAGTGTCAATTTAGTATTTTTCATGGTATCAACCCAATTTATAATCGAGATTTAGCACGATTTCTTGGTATGTCTATGATTACCCTATTTTTCTACTAGCTCTCGAGCTTAGTCCTCGGTACATAGTGCGGCCTACATGATCAAGCGACTCCTCACTCGAACTCAAGATGCCCTTAGCTTTACTCTACCCACTTAGCTCTTGTGTCTAGCTTTTTCTTATTATATGTTTTGATACTTGTAGATATTGATCAATTCGTTCAATCAGATCCAAGCAGAAACAGTATAATAAACAGGTGCGGTCTAGAAGCTAAAGAGAATAATTTCTACCATTTCACCAAAGATCTCTCGCAATCGAAGTACTAACCAAAAGAAACTTTAAATAATTCCAGATATTTGTGTTGATCTCTGTTCACTTTAGAACCCACTTTGGAACCTACGAATCTGAAATTTGTTCCTCACCAAGAACTGCTTTTCATCAAGTGCCTGGCAACATCCCAAGCAGGATTTCTGTTTTGTTTGGTGGGACCTGTGGATAAGATTTGGTGAATGAACAATTTAAAATTTGTCGTGACATATATCAAGGTGATAAATACAAAATTGGATCTTTAAGAATGTTGCTTCTACCTCACAGATTCAAGTGAGATGAGATGCTTGGTGGAGTTAAAAGAGAGGATTCTGGAAGATATAGGTCATTTCAAGCATAGGGTATTATTACAAGTGCCTTTTTTAGGGCGATCATGCCGATAATCCCGAACTTTGGCCCGATATTTGATGTCGCGTCTAAAACCTTTTTTTCCATTCAATTAGATCTCTGAACGCTTTCAAAGTTCTTCACATTGGCCCTTGCTCGTTTTTGGTAATTAACATTTATTTTGATTTGAAGCGATTTATGGGAAAATTATCCAAAAAGTCATAAACCTAATGCACTTTTCTCAATTCCATCATAAACCTTTCAATTTTGCCAATTGAATCATAAACCTTTCCACTTCTTGCCAATTGAGTCCATCCGGTCAATTTTGGACGGAAATTGCTGATGTGGCATAGCCGGCACCGACGTGGACATTTTTAAATAATATTTTATTAAGTTTTTGAAATTTTTATAGTTTTTTTTTTCTCTTTTTTTCCCTTTTCTTTACTTTTTTTTTTCGTTTTTCAAGTTAGGGCCGGCGACCCTCACCCAGAGCCGGCAAGGGTTGGCCGGCCACCCTCGCTGGCCCTAACTCCAAAACCCCCCAAAAAAAAACAAAGAAAAAAACTATAAAATTTTAAAATATTATTTAAAAATGTCCACGTCAGTGCCAGCCATACCATGTAAGACGGCCGGCATCCACGACAGCATTTTCCGGCCAAAATTGGCCAGATGGACTCAATTGGCGAGAAGTGAAAATGTTTAGGACTCAATTGGCAAAATTGAAAGGTTTAGGACTCAATTGGCAAAAGTGCAATAGGTTTACGATTTTTTTGGACAATTTTCTCAGCGATCTAGCATCATACATTAGTTCAATAAGGCAAAAGCTTAAGGGGTAATGGCACCTCTAAAGCTTAAATGAAGCGTGCTAACTACTCATTTAAACTCTATCCAATATGGGGTTTATTATCATATAGATTACACAATTTCTCCGTCCGACATTGCTAAATAGAGATTCCTTCCTTGGTGGAAAGCTCATGTGGAGGCTATTGTTTATATATATATATATATATATATATATATATATATATAGCATTGTACTCTCTAATACCTTTAACTTTGGAAGTAAACAGTTCCTCACTCAATTTCAATTTTAATTTCAAAGTTTAGGATCTCAAGTTCGAATCAATACCCTCCTTTCGCTCCATTTCGATTTTACTTGAGTATATAATTATTCACTCAATTTCAAGTGAGTCTCACGTGCTGCTAGATGTAATCAACCCAAGGGTTCTTGAAGAATAATTTCGTTGACGTAATAAAACCAAATTAATTGGACTCCAGATAACTTCCCTTGTTGTCTACGCGAAGATTGGAAGGGGAAAAAC